CACATACACACACACATACAGACACACTAACTGCAAAGACTCCCATTTTGTGCTTCGCACATGGGAGTCAAAAATCATTAAAATCAAGCGTTTTAGAGCCAGATCTCATTTGATAGCCATATCTAGAATGTTTCACACATATTCTCGTGCATTTGTTTTCTGATGAAATTCAAGGTTGCCAAATGGTGTCTATTTGGTATATGCGTTGAACAAAAGGAAAGTGCAGACTATAAATAGACTATTTTGTGAATTTGTGACGAAAAAAGGGATCACGTGTATCACACATAACCACATGTATTTGTTTCACAAACCAATTGAAAATGGCTGAAGATGTCCATTTCTGCCATTCTAGAATCAAATCAAATCAAACGTTTCACAGTTCTGATTAAAAAAGCTTGCAGTGAAAACAGACAGGGAATGTGTCATATCATGTTTGGTTTAAAAAGAAGTTTGTATTGGCAAGGATATCAAAGTGTGGCTTGCCATTGCTGAACATAATCACAAATAAAAACTGTCTAAAATAATGTAACTGTATGTTTAGAACTGAAATAATTGATATATATATTCTAAAACGAGGTAGAAAAACAAATTGACGATTGTCTACCATTTTTGTTTTATAAACAGTATAAATGTGAATTTTCGGCTGATTTTCCAAACAGGGACATATCTATATGACATGATGCAACATTGCCCAAGACAATACAAATAGCAACTCAACAGTACAATGACATTTTATTCCGTGTAAATATGAATATAGATACATATAATGTTTATTGAAATTCATATTTAAGTACATGCGAAATTTTATTTAATATTGGCCAAAAAACACTGCTAAATTTGTCTAATAATAATAATTAACTTAACTTCCATTATTTTGGTAATAAAAATAATACCATTTGTACAGTGACTTGATTAAGACTGAGTACCTAACTAGCCACCAAAAGATTGGGCTATAAATAACTAGACGAGTGATGACATAAACAGAGATTGAGATAATATTAAACTTTTCACCACCAAACTTTCTCGTCCAAATTTCTTGTAAATTTTTTTTTTTATTATATTCTTCATTATTTCTGGAAATGAACCCTAGATTTGGAGCCAGCAGAGAAAATTTGAGTCAATTTTCAGTTTTTACTAAAAAAAATGTTTGTGTCGATTTCGGAAGGAAATTGCAGACTATAAACAGGAATATTTTGAGTGACGACCCCTCTGCTTTATTTGTTACTTCAAATAAAGCAACTTTGCACACTGAATAGTGTGCAAAATTGACACAAGCTTATTAATTCATTACTTGATAACAGAATAATAATAAATTTGCAGCAATTCATCTGAATACTATAGTTTTAAAATTAAACCTACCTAATCCAAAAAATTTAATATATATTTATAGTGTGAAGCTTTTGTTATTTTAACTCGTACGTACAAACAAAATTAACAGATTCTAAAAATACCAGAAATGAATAGAAGGATGTGGACATCCTCTTTGCTATATGAGATTAAAGAAATCCGACACTACATGGATTAACTCTTAGAATTCCTTAGTATTTCCTGCAGGATTGCTGCTACAGTTTGCTATAATTTCTTTGTTAACCCTTCACAAATTTTGGCATCATCTACAAAATGATGTTGTACAGTCTGCTCCTTCCCCACTTGAAATGTTGATAAAAATTGACAAATCTTTTGATCAAAAACTAAAAGCAATAACTGTAATTGTCTGTGTGGTCTAAAATGATGATAACATTTAGTGACAAATTTACAAAATGTGAATATATTTCCACTGAATAAGGGTTAATGTTAGACATAATCCTTCATTCACTACAAATTTTGATAAAGGAAAATGAAATATGGAAAGGATTGTTCATAAATGTAACAAAAAATAAACACAATTTTCTCACTAATACGTAGGAATACTTGTAATGTTTTCGAGTACCATTGCACATTCACCTGTATCGGATTCGTAGACTACTGTGCCCTCCATTTTGTCATCATGTTTGCTGTAAACCGAAAATTTATGTTTTTTATTTCTCTTGAAACAAACAAACACAATAGCCATTGTAGTTAAAACAACAACAGTTATGACTATCACAATGGTTATTGTTATTATAGTGTTGCTGTGTTTCTCATGGTTCTTAATTTGTTTGGGTTCTGTGGTGATTACCATACATTGTTCATCATCGATGTAACTTTTACCTGCACCATTTAAACTTACTACGCATATTTGATACTGTGTACCAGCTGTCAG